TTGCATATCCCCCAAACCCATAATAGACTAAAAAGAAGAGATCCATACAAATCAATATAAAAATATAGAAAATATTTTATTAAATTATGAAATAGAGAAGACACATTGAAGCATGATATCGAATCAGGAAGCCATACAGGAATATATTGACAGATTTTAGTAAATAAAAATTTAAAATTTATTTGTTTTAAAATATGATATTAACAGAAGACAAAAGTAATATATATGACAAAGGATCTGTACTCACATATATAAAGAATTCCTCCAAACCAGGCATTGGTGGCACACGCCTTTAATCCCAGCATTCTGGAAGCAGAGGCAGGTGGATCTCTGTGAGTTCGAAGGCAGCCTGGTTTACAGAGCTAGTTCTAGGAAAAGCTCCAACACCACAGAGAAACCCTATCTCGAAAAACCACACACACACACACAAAAAAAAATCAGGTAGTAGTGTTGCATGCCTTTAATCCTAGCACTCTGGAGGCAGAGGCAGGCCGTGGCCAGCCTGGTCTACTGAGTGGGTTTCAGAATGGCCAAGCCTACACAGAGAAACCTTGTCTCAAAAAAACAAAGCTGTTGGTTCCTCTCTTAAGCCGGGCCCTCAGCTTCCCCTCCAGGCCCAGTAGCCCTTTCCCAATATTCACTCAATGCCAGCATCTGCAGTGTTGACTCAGAAAGCCCTCCCACCCTCCAGCAGACAGAGCTGAGCTGATGCTGATTCCAGTAGATACAGGTAGGGTTTGAACAGGCCTGGGAAGCCAAGGGGCTAGAACTGTCACCTGCCTGCCACCCTGGAGTGGTGTCTTCCACATTGCAGTCGGGAGAAAGACTTTGGAGACCCAAGCAGGAGGAACTGTGACACAGAGCAGGCTAGGCCTATCCTCACCGTACGTCAGAATAGGTCATCATGTGTCAAATTGTGTGTGTGTGTGTGTGTGTGTGTGTGTGTGTGTGTGTGTGTGTTTGGGTTGGGCGGGGTGTATGATCGTGTTTGTGTGGATGGGTTTGGGTGAGTGAATGGAGGCCAGAGGTCAGTGTATGATGTCTTCCTCACTCTCCTTGTCTTATTTTCTGAGACAGGTTCTTACTTGATCTGGGGCTTATTTGGCTGCTCTGACTAGCTGGGAAGCTCCAGAGACCCACTTGTGCTGGGGTTCAGGGGACAAGCTGCTGCACTTGGCTTTCATGTGGACTCTGGTCTTACACTTGTGTGACAATTTACCAACTGCGCCTTCTTCCTCATTTATGGTCCCCTACTCTCTCTTTCTATTTCAGATGCAGTGTTACTCTGGATGACCTGGTCTGCATAGAGAGTTAGAGGCCAGGATTTGTAGGCATAGTCCACCTTACCCGGCACGTTTGCCCATCTCTGCTTTTATAGGCTGAGCTCTGCTTTTCAAAGTGAATTGAGCCTGACCTTCAGACTCTGCATCTCACCGCATTGGTGGAAGATTGAGAGGAAGGTCTGCAGAAGGGTCCTGGGGTGGGTCTCCAGATAAAGCAAGCACTTAGCATACTTGAGGCCCTGGGTTCAGGCCCCAGCACACTGCCCCCAGCAGACTGCAGTCCAGTCACTCCTGGCAGGAAATGCTGAAGGCCAGGTTTCATAGCAGAGGCTGGCTGGAGGGAGCCAGGGATCTGGTCACAGGGTGGGCATGCTGGGGGTGGTGGCTCCTTGGTTGGGTAATGGAACAACTGGACCAGAGCCTCAGGGGAGCTGTCCAGAGAGGCCTGCCCTGTTCTGGTTGACTGGCCTTTGGGAATCGTAGGGAGTTTCCAAGCTTGGTGGGGAGGGTCTGCGGGGGAGGAGTGGGGCAGAGTCCTCCAGGCAGGATGGCTATGTGCTCAGGTCCTAACCCTCCCCACTGGGATCAGAGGAGGTAAGACTGTCTCTAAGAACAGTGAGTCTTTCTGCTGTAGAAAGCGCAGGTACCCTCTCTCTCAGGCTTGCTCATGGCTGTGTTGGGATATGGAGCTACTGTGTGTGTGTCTGGGTGTGTCTGGCCCCGTGTGAGCCTCTGTACGTGGGTCTGACTGTGGGTCTCTGTGACTGTGTGTGTGTGGAGGGGTTGTGAGAGCCGGTACACAGGAATATGTGTGAGTTCTACCGTGGCTCTGGGCACAGGCTCACCCACTCTTAAAGGGCCACCAACTCTTGTGACAGTGTTGCATCTCCTCCCCTTGTTCCTTTCCACACATCTGTGCTACAGGGTACGGCTGGCTCTCCCTAACCTCCTGTTTCCAGCCAGCTGCGGTGGAGGCTGCAGGGTACCCCTTTAGGCAGCTGCCCTGCTGGAGGACCAGGCATTCTCCATCCTCTACCAGTCCCTCCCTCCCTGGGAGACTGGGAAACAGAGGCCCACAGGGGACCTAATTGGAGGAGGCTGACCTTGAACCCTAGAGTGCTTCAGGTGAAGATGAACATGTCGGTGAGGGTGACTTGACTTGTTCCTATCTGCCTAACAAGCTCTTTTTCTGTCTTGAAGGTGTCGCTGACAGGCTTGGTAGCAGCAGCCTTCGTAGTTTGGTTGCTATGGCTGCCCATATAGACTGGTGCTAGAAGGTGGGAAAGGAGTAGGAAACAGGGACCACCCCCACCCAGGGTCCCAGGGCACAGGAATGGGGAAACATCTCAAGTTGGCTCAGGAATCTTGGCCTCTTTGCTGAAACTAAGGTGAGGTTAGGCCTGAGAGGTCAAGACAGTACCTCATGGTCACCAAGTGTGGCCCATAAGGCAACTTGGAAAGGGCTTTGAGGATAGTGTGTCCTGCTGGGAAGAAGTCTGTGCTCTTGGTACGTTCATTGCTTTATGTGACATTCCCCAGACAAGGCTGCATGAAGAAACTAGGGACAGACAAAGCTCCATTTGGCAGGCCATGGTGAAGTATTCCAGTTTCTTGATTTCCTGCAGGATTAGGGAACTCGAGTCTTCTGCTTTTGAATACCAGTTGCCAGGAGACACCCAAAACCTCTTGCTTCCCTGTCCCTGAATTCAGGCAGCAGAGATGGGGCATTGTGTGCCTAGTAGGGTGGTACAGGGTCCTAAGCTACTAGGCCTGATCTACCTTCTGCAGCCTGGAGTGCCTAGACTGTCGTTATAGCCCTGACCCAGGCTGACAGGCCCTTCCTGCAAAGGCCAGACCAGTCCATGTGCTTTATTACCCAGCTAATGATGGTGATTAGGCCCATAAGGGCTGGCTGCCTGCAGCCCTGCCCTCCTCAACCCAGCTTGCTGAGGAGGGAGTGTCCAGGCAGTTGGGGGGAAGCTCGGACAGTAGACCACCAACTCTGGCCTTAACCTGGCTGGTGTTCATCTGCCCTAAAAAAGAGAGTCAGTAAGCCCACCTGCCCCAGGACAGGTAGTGTGATCTCAGCTTGCACCTGCCCCCTGATCAGAGCTAACAGGGTACAGAGTTGAGTGGCCACCAGCTGAATTTGGTGGCACTTAAGAGGCTGAGGAAGGGTTACCATGAGCTGAAAGCCAGCTTAGTCTATATCATGAGTTCCAGGCCAGCCTGGACTACATGCAGCAACTATGTCTCAAACACTCAAAAAGAACAAACAAATGAGCAGGCCGCTGCTTATGCCCTCTAAAGCCTTCCTCAGACAGGACTGTGTTTTGGGTATCCATAGTAACAGAGATGATCCTTCTTGATGCCCTCCTGGGAGCCCACTGCATTCCTGGGGACTGTCCCTTGAGGCCTTGGGGGGGATGCTCACATGGTTTATGGTTGTACTTCATGTGTGAGGAATGCCGGCTTTCAGGGGACAGTGTGGAGGCAGGGCTCTCTTCCCACCCCAATGTTCTGTCAGTATCCATGTCCTCCACAGACAGTCATGTTTCTTTCCTGGCTGCTGTCCCTAAGGGTCCCCAGTTCTGTAAAGATGGTGAATAGGATGAAGTCTTTTCTGTCTTCACAGCTGGTAACCCCTTTTTGTTTGAACACAAGGCTAATTGTAAATACCTTTTTTTTTCTCCCTTTGCTGCAGAAGGGAATTGGGTAGACTTAGGAAACTCCCCCAAATGAATCCTAGGCTTACGTGGCACCATCCACAACATTGAGAGACCTAAGACAGACACAGAGATGGACTTCCAGCCTAGGAGAGATGTTGATGCTAGAATGGATGGTGATGTGGTATAAGCCATCCCCACCTTGCCAGATACTGGTATCCGGGGTCTATGAGAATGTGGAGTGGGAAGGGTAAGGAGGCAGATCGCTATATACTGTCTGGCTCTGGACTCTGGAGGCCACAGCAGGTTTGAGCCTGTTTCCTATGTGTCTTATCTATCTTCCTGTGGGCTGCCATTTTGGATGAGGGTCCATCTTTCTGAGCACCCGGCATGGGTCAGCCTGTCTCCTCTGGTCTAGTGGGACCGGTTTTTCCAGCTGGAGGAAGGGTCGGTGAGGAATTGGCAGGGGCAGAGGGTTTTATGTAAATGTCCAGGGAGTGCTCTGGGAACGGAGAGGCCGGTTTTCCCAAAGGCACGCAGAGACTGGCAGCTCCCAATTAGCCGCTGGTGAAGTCACTGCAGCTTTGCTGGGTGGCTGCGCCCACTCCAAACGGCCTAGCAGGGTTGCGCGACCTCTGCTTCCAGGCCCTGAACGCCGGAAAAATTACCAGAACTCTACTGAAAAAGCTTTTAATGAACCTTGGAGTTCCCGCTCCCAGGCGCCTCCAGCCCAGAGTTTCAATAAATACAGTGCAAAGAGGTCTGGAGGCCTAGCTGGGAGACAGAAGGCGGGCGCTGTCACCATGCATAAAACCACCAAGGCGCCCTTAGGCCATACCACACATGCGCGTCCCCGCACAGCATATGGAAACACGAGCATCGTCCTCTGTTTGCAGACACAGGAATACACGATTGCACATGCGCCTGGCCGACTTTCCAACACTGGCCCAGGGCTTGGCGCTTGGGGCGCCCTCTCCTGGCTCTGAGGAGTGGCACCGGTGGGCTTTCCCCAGCAGAGCTAGGTTTGTTTCTTAGTCTAGAGGCCTGGTACGGTGGAATTGGACGTGGAATTGGAGGGGCCGAGAACGCATTGGCTTATGTTGGAGTGGGCCCAGGAAGGGAATGTGTCCAGGTTGAAGATGGGGATACTCCAGCTGTTGATGGACAGTGTGATAGCCAGCACCCCGATGATATTGAGCAGGAATCCGGCACGGGCCTAGGGTGAGGCAAGCCAATATGCATCAGAGGCACACTCTTCAGCTGTCAAGGGTGCTCAAGACCCCTCCCACCAGCAAAGCCCTCCTTGGGAAGTCCTGCCTTCATTCTAAAATGCAGTGTTAGGCAATGTCTTTGTCACTTATTTGACTGCCCACCTTAACACGGACAGTGCGGGGAGGGGGGTGCGGGGGGGGATTCATTCTGGGGCTCTCAGTCTTGTTTTCTCTTAGGCCATTTCACTAAGTGGGGATACTGCCCCACCCCCAACTTCCAAATGTCTCCTGCCTTTACAGGTCAAGGCAGGGACCGAGGCATTCCGACCTGCTTTCCACTCACCATATCGGACACTTTGAGGCCTCCAAAGGAGAAGACGATGGCATTGGGTGGAGTGGCCACAGGCAGCATGAAAGCCAAGGAGGCAGCCAGGGTGCAGGGGAGCATGACATAGAGCGGGTGAAGGCAGATGGCCTGTGCCTGGAGGGTGACAGAGGGCAAGGCTCATCCTGGTCCGGGCTCAGTGGGGAGGCCAGGCCCCAGTTCCTCCTTTCTTCACTGTGGAGGGCTACGCCACCCCTCCCCCATCAGGAACCCAATTCCTGGGCAGAGTGCTCTGGGTGACCTGGAGAGGGCCCCTTGACCTCTTGGAGGAGATGAATGTGCTGCCCTGCCCTGTGGGGTGTAGTGAGGGGAGGGGCCCATAAAACTGATCTCAAAGGGGCTCGGGAGGTGTCATCAAAGGCTGTGGGAACACACCTGAGGAGGAAGGGGCTGGGGACGCTCCAGGGAGCAATTTTACCTCCATCACTTCTGGAGTGACCAGAACAGGGATTGGGTGGGGAGGTGGGTGAGGCCTCCAGCCAGCTCCACTGGGATACTCAAAGAGTGATGTCACTTGGGGCAGGTGACTCAGGGGCCAGAGGCCTTGGGACTGAAGAGCTAAACATCTGGAGAAGGGGGAAGCTTGGGGGAGGAGGGCAGGCAGGTTTAGATCAGCCTCTCTGACTAGTGGGGGGTAGAAAGCAGGCAGGAAGGCTGCCTGGAGGAAGCCGCAGTGTCTTCTCACCATGGAGGCCAGGATGGGCAGGAAGAGCGTAGTGGTGGCCACGTTACTGGTGCACTCGGTGAAGATGGCGATGAGTAGGCAGAGGATGATTGCTGTGGCTGATGGCGGTATGTGCTGCAGCGGGGTCAGCTTGTCTCCCAGCCACTCAGATAGACCAGACTTCTGATAGCAGAAGGAGGCGGTACATATGAGACAGGACAGCCTGGGGTCCCCAGGTCCTGGCCATGCCCGCACCTCCACAGCCTTCAAGTCGGGCAATTCTGAAGGAAGGCAGTGCCCAGCTAGGACCAAGGGAGCTCCCTTGCGGGGAGGGGAGGTTCTAGCGGGAAACCTGGCAGTTAGTGGGTGTGATCACCTTGCTTTCCTGACTCTCTTGAAGCTCCTGGATCACTTGAGACCTCTCTCTGCTACGTGTTAGGGCTGAAGGGACCTTGCTTTTGGTGGTGGTTGGGCTTGAAGAGGCTGGGAAGAGGCTATTGGGAAAATGGGCAATTCCCAGGGTATCTGTCCTGCCCACTGTCATGCCAGGCTGTCTCCTACACATCAAGCAAAGTGTCTTGCAGTCTGTGGATATACTAATCATAGACCCAGGAATCTCCTACATCAACCCTTAGCTCAGGTCAGCTAGGACCCAGAGGCCCAGATTTGCCGTATGGGGAGTTCCAGATCTTAAAAAACACTCAAGTTCCTGGAAGACTGTTATCTGGCGCCCCCTGGAGGCTGCATCTGGTACTGCATTGAGCCAATGCTATCATTGTGAGTGCTCAGGCTTATGGCTTGAATACGCAGCTGGTGTGCAGGAGGCCTATTCTTCTTTGGGCTTTAAGAACCCAGCTGGTGAACTAAGGCTGGCGTGGGACTATCCCAGGGTTTCCCTCAGACAGGCTCTCACCTCACTGCCTTTGGCCAGGGCAAAGCCCCCACCCAGCAAGATCACGATATTCCAGGGCATCTTATCGTTCACTGTCTTCCAGGTGAGGATGGCAGGAGGAGCCTTCAGCTTCCCTGGTTTTTCTACTCCCCAAGCAGACAAGGGTGGTCACCAAAAGTCAATGAGCCTTCCCTCCCCTCCACTTGAGGCTTTCCTGAGTGGGTTCCTATCAAGTGGGTTCCTAGTAAACTAGGTAGAGGGGAGTCCCTCAATCTCGATCCCTGTAGTATCCCAACTCTGTCCATACGTCCCTGTGCCCTTGGCAGGTCACCCCAACCCTTCCTTTGCTAGCTCCTGCCGGATGTGGTAGAAGGGGCCTACAGAGACCCTTCCCAGCCCCAGGCCGGGTGCTTACTTGGGTTTTGAGTTAGTCCTGGAATCTTGGAGGGTATGATGAACATAATCAGGCTGATGAAAATGGCCACTGTCCCATCTGATGCCATGCTATGGGAGGGGGAGAAGGGAAGGTTGAGTAGAGGACAGAGAAAGGTCCGTCCCTACCATCAACGTGCCTGGTGAGAGGCCCCAAGAGAGACATCTGTCCCTTGCTCAGCCCCCTTCCCCCCACCTTCTTTTCCTTGTTTTCCAGTGCAGAGTCCTGAGCAGTCTCCCCTCCTGCCCCCTGGCAGGCCTCACCTTTGCCCATCTTTGTTGGCGAAAAACGTGTCACCCCAGCCTGGGAAGAAGCCTGGCTCTCTGGTGAACCAGAGCACCACCAGAACAATAAAGAGGGCAGTGACAACCTTCTCTGCAAAACTCATGGGGCCCAGCAGCTTGTGTTGGGTCTTGATGACCTGGAAGGCTGCCTCCTTTCTCTCTTCCGCTCCTTCCCCAAAGCCAAAGTTCTTCCGGAAGCTGCAGGCAGAGGCAGGGGCAGTGTGTGAAGGGTCTGTACCAGGCACAGGGCAAAACCCTCAGGTCCTGGCTCTAGAGAAGAGTCTAAGACCCAGAGGGGCATCATGGCATTTCCCCCCACTCCACCGTACCCAGACAGGGTCTCATATAGCCCAGACTGACATTGGATTCCAGGCATACATTATTATGTTCATGTTGTGTGGGACCGGGGACCAAACCCAGGTTTTATACATGCTAGGTAAACTTTTCTACTGTCTTACATTTCTGACCCTTTGTTTTGTTTTTAGCCCAAGCTTGTCTCCATCTCTTGATCTTCCTGCCTCAGCCTCCTGCATGATGGGGTTATAAAGGTGTGTGCAACCACACCTGACTTGGGATTGTGGCTTTTCTTCAACAAGAAAGCTTCATTTTCCCCCTCTTCCCCATTGTCACCCTTCCTCTGAAGAGTCCCCGTGCTGAGCCCTTTCTGCCCAGACTCTGAGTGTCCTTCGGGTCTTGGTTCTGAGCTCCCCTTTCCATCAATGTCCCAGGAACTGCTCCCTTCCCTGGGTATCCTTGGCAGCCATCCAGAAGGCTCACGTCCTTGTGCTGTTTCTTTAACTTGCACTGGCATTTAGCTTTACACTTGGGTAAATCTTATCACCTGCTGGTCTGTGAGTTTCTCGGGGCAAAGACCATGTTTCACACATCTCTGGCTCCTCACAGTACCCAACACTGTGCTGACTTCATCAACTACTCCCTTGCCTCCCATCAGCTCCCAACCTCCTTGCACCTGCCCAAGAGATTTGTTCAAAGTACAGCCTACCAACTTGCTGTGCCTTCCCCTCTGCCTGGGAAGGATGGATGAATAATGGCTCACACCCAAGTAATATTCAGATCACCACTCTGGTCTGTGTGGCCAGTTGACATCACTAATTGGTTTCAGACTTGAGTTCAGCTGAGCCTTAGCAGGTTCTCTGACTATTTTACTTCAGTTTAGTTTTTTAAGACAGGGCTTTATGTGACCCAGGCTGGCCTTGAACTCACGATCCTCCTGCCTCAGTTCCCTAGGTATTGAGTTGACAAGTATGTACCATCACGCCTGTACCTAACACAGGTCTCTACACTGGAATGAGGAGTAACTCAGGGTTGCATGGAGGATGAAAGTTACTCCTCATCTTGGCCTCAAGGACAAGGTCCCAGCTCATGTGACTCACAAAGTCCTCTGTGATTATTCCCTCACAGCCTCTTGCACTTCAGCCTCTGAGAAGCAGTGTTTCCAGACACACCCAGGTCTCTGTGGCCTCTGTGCTTCGTGCCTCTCCTGCCTGGATGCTTCCCCCCCCCCCCCACTTCTATACCTGGCTGGCTACCAATCTTGCAAGAATCCACTGAGCTTTCATGTCCAGGAACTCTCCGGAAGGCTCACTCCCTGTATCATCCCCATCAGATGGAGAATGGCAAGGATAGGGACATTGCCCAAGGTCTAGGAGTCCCAGGGTCCAGTATGTGGACAAGCAAACAGAAGGATCACTTCCAATACTTCTCTAACTGACTGTCCTCCATGTGGAATCCCCAAGTGCTCATCTCAGGGCCACAGGGTTTTATGGGAAGATGCCTGACTGGTGGGGGTGGAGCATCAGGAGATGTGGTTTTCAAGGCTGCAGAGATGGTTAAGTCAGTAAGATGTTTGCCGTGTAAAGTGTCAAGACCTGAGTTCAGGCCCCAGCACTCACATATAAAAAGGCACTGGTGATGCAGAAACCAAAGGACCCCTGGGGCTCATTGGATAGCCATTGTAACTGGATGAGTTCTAGGTTTGTTGGGAGACCCTGTCTCAAAAAATTAAGGAGGACAATGACTGAGGAAGACAGCTAATGCCAAATTCTGCTCTTTGTACACACTCATCCTAACATGTGCACATACACCTGTCCATGAATATGAACACACACACACACACACACACACACACACACACACACACACACACGATTTTCAATCCCAGAATTCACCATTCCTCCAGACTTAGCTTGCCCATTCCCTCCCATGGGAGGCCAAGCATTCAGAGAGGGAGAGGGCTTCTCCTGGCATGGTCCCCCACCTTGTTTGGCTACCAGGGATACAGGCAGGAAGCTGGGCTTCTCTTACCTATTGCCCACTTACTTGAAACCCAGGAAGAGGACCTGTAGCCATATCCAAGCCAACAGCAGCAAGATGATCATGGTGGGGAAAGCGAAACCAAACCAGGAGGCAAAGTTCACCACATTGCCATTTTGGGGGAAGATCCTGAAGAAGGGGACATGGGCTGTTATGTGACATTGCTCCTGAAACTGCCTGGTCCCATTTCCCCCTCAAGAAGACTGCAAGTCCTTTCCATCATGCCCCCCACCCCACCTCTGGCACTCACGAGTTGACCTGGCCTTGGAGCACCAGGTTGGGGGTGGTGCCTGTCAGGGTGGCGATGCCCCCGATGCTGGCTGAGTAACAAATGCACAGGCTCAGCCCCTGGCTGAAGCGGTGATGCTCCCCGGTCTTCTGCGTTCTGAGATCCGAAGAAGCAGATATAGCCTGTCCGTTATCTGCAAACAAGGGAAAGCACATGGGGACAGGTGCAAGAGCATCTGCAGGGACCCTGGCTGGGTCCTGGGGGCTCCAGGGCTCCTTGCTGGTGAACAGATGGACTTGAGTTGCCAGGGGGACAGAGAGTGTGCCCAGATTCCAGCATTCTCTGGAATTTTGGGTTGGGGGATATTCTCAGACACAATCTGGTCCAACTTCTCTTGGGAAACTGAGGCACAGAGAAGTGAAGGTGTTACCTAAACTAAGCAGGAGGGATGAAGTCCAGAGTTACTTCCTGTTCCCCAGACTTCAGCTCACTTCTCATCAAACTCGTGGATTGTTAGGACTGAAGGATGTACTGGCATAGGATGCTGAGCTTTGTGGTCAGTGTTTATTGTTGTTATTACTATAACGTGGTGCTGAGGATGGAATCCATGGTCTCACACATGCGAGGCAAGTATGATACCCTTGAGCTACATAGCCCATGTATCTTGGTACTTAATATTTTTGAAACAAAATTATTATTATTAATAATCTATATATATATGTGTGTGTGTGTCACACACACTCACACACATAGAGAGGAAGTCAGAGGACAACTTGCAGGAATCAGTTCTTTCTTCCCATCATGTGCACTCTGGGGAGCAAACTCAGGTCTTTAGGCTTGGCAGAAGGAATCTTTACCAGCTGAGATATCTCAGTAGACTTCACTGCCATTTTAAACCTGGCAAAACCTCAGGAAGACCTGGATGGGTTGGTCACTCGACTGTCTCTTCCCCCACTGGCCTTTGAGATGGGCAGCCATGGGGGGAGCGGGGCAGGGTCTGTTTCATGACTCTTACCTAGCTTGGTCACCTCCTTCTGGGGACTTGCTTCCTGGAGCTCAAAGGTGGGGTTGTCATTGCCTTCCTCCACATCCTTCTGTGAGCCCTGAAGCTGCTCCAGGACGGCATGCCCAATGGGCAACATCATGGCTGTGGTGGCAGTGTTGCTAATCCACATGGAGAGGAAGGCGGTGACCAACATGAAGCCTAGAAGCAGCCTAGAGGCAGACAGAAACACAGCCATTCCAGCTTCTGTCCAGACGTGGGGTGCCCACACGTTTCTCCCACCCTGGATCATGCAAACTCACAGGGCAGGCCGCACTCCAATGACAAGGAGCACTCGGAGGGCGATGCGTTTGTGTAGGTTCCAGTGCTCTACGGCGACGGCCACCATCAGGCCCCCAAAGAACAGTATGTTGGTATCCTTGAAGTACTCTATGCAGACCTGGAGAGTGGGGCTGTATCAGAGACCCTGGGGTCTCCTCCTGATATCACCAAGCTTATGGGAAACCTTCATGACTCCCTCACTAACTGTGATTCCCCTGGGACCTCAGAACCAAACGGAAATGGCCTTTGGGTGGTCAGCCATTGCACAGGAGCCAGGTTCCCACCAAACTAACTGACAGACCAGGAGGCTGTAGCATTTTGCTTGTAACCATCACCTGAGACTTGTTACAAACAAAATGCTCAGCCAGGCCTGATAGTTCTGTTGAAACCCCAGGAGCAAGTAGGTTGAGAATTCTAGGCCAGCCTGGGCTATGTAGCAAGACCCAGTGTTAACATGAAGGAGGAGGAAGAGAGTGAGAGAAGAAGATGGGGAGGAGGGAGAGGAAAAGAAGAGATAGAACAGTGGGGGGGTGAGGAGGGGAGAGACGAAGAAAAAGAAAAAGGAATGTGAGACAGAGATAGAACCCTTTTAATCTGAGTCAGGTCAGAGGTAGGCCCATCTATCTGCTTTGCACCTTAGTCTTGGTGGTTCTGGTGTAGATCAAACTTGAGAGCCATTACATTAGAAGTATACAGTCAGGGGCTGGAGAGATGGCTCAGTGGTTAAGATCCCTCCCTGCTCCTCCAGAGGACCTGGGTTCAATTCTCAACAACCATCCTTAACCCCCGTTCCAGGGGTCCCAATGCCCTCTTCTGATCTCTGAGGGTACATACATACATACACACACCCTATACATACATACATACATACACACACCCAATACATACATACATACATACATACATACACACATACATATCTACAGCCCTTTGTTAGACTTTTGTTTGTGGGGTCTGCATTCATGGATGAGGCACTCTTGTATAGAAAATACTGAATGTGTACAGGCGTTCCTCTACATTAGTCTCTTCAAAATTTGTTTTACATTTGTTTATTTGTGTGTGTGTGTGTGTGTGTGTGTGTGTGTGTGTGTGTGTGTGGGTGTGTGTACATGTACCATTGGTTAGCGTGTGGACATCAGGAGACAATTTGCAGGACTCTGTCTCTTCTTCCACAAGGTGAGTCCTAACATTGGACTCACGGTGTGAGGCTAGGCAGCAAGTGCCTTTATCTGCTGAGCCACCTCCTCAGCCCTGTTTTCTAAACTATCTATTATAGTAAGTATTCATTCATATTGGGTATCATGAGGAGGGTGTTGATGCTCTATGAAAACACCATATATCTTATGTAAGAGAATTGAGCATCCCAGATCTTGACATCCAAAAGAAACCCTCACTTTGGTTAAGTGGATATGGGGACAGGTGACAGTTTATCTTTGTTTGTTTTTGACAGGGTCTACCTAGGTAGCCCAGGTTGATCTTGAACTTAAGATCCTCCCATATTAGCCTCTCAGTGCCAGGCTTCCAGCAGTGGACCAGCTGTTGGGGGATTCTTCATTGGCTTTCATCGCCCTCCTCTTGTTGCAAACCCTGCATCTCTCTGGCAAGGCTCATCCCTTCTATTGTGAATAAACTCTCCCAACAGTCACATTTCTAGGATACTCTCTGCCTCCTAGCTAATCATCTCCCACGACCTTCTTCCAGGACCTTGGGAAGGGGCTCCTTTGGTTCCAAGACTCTGGGGACAATCCCCCCACTTCCCTGTAGCCTTTCCTGATGCGGCTAGGCGTACTCACCTCAGAGGCTTCCATGATACCCATCAGGGGGAAAAGGATGATGGGGAACAGGGCGGTGACAGCCAGGGGCAGGGCCTCCGTACACCACAACAGTGCCATGAGGATGATGGAGTAAGCACAGTAGGCTTCCTGTGGGCAGGGGGAGAGAAGCAGAGAGAGGAGTTAGAAGGTAGTGGCATTCTCTTCTGCCCTTAAGAGAAACCAGGCCATTTGTGCCAGCAGGAGGAGAGCCTGTGGGTGCTTGATTCCCAAGTCCCAGGTTTCCATCTCAAGATGGAAGCAAACAAAGACGAGCTAGGGATATGGCTCAGTTGGTAAAGTATTCTAGCATGCATTACATATAACCCAAGCACCACATAGCCTGTAAACCCCAGCATTCAGGAGGGAGTTCAAACTCATCCTGGGCTACATAGCAAGACTGAGGACCGCCTGGACTAGACATGAGATACTATCTCGAGTTTTGGTTTCATTTATTTTTGTTGTTGTTTGTTTGTTTGTTTGAAATAGAGTCTCACTGTGCAGCACTGGCTAGCCCAGAGCTCACTATATAGACCAGGCTATTCTTAAACTCACAGAAATCCACCTGATTCTGGATTAGCCAGAGGGAGGCCTCTGGGCAGGGACTGTTTGCTGAGGAAGGACCAGCTGGGGGTTTATAGGCTGTGGGCTCTGACCCTCCTGTCTTATCCATCCAAATGTTTGCCTTTTCCTTTCACTGCTAGGCTCACCCTTAGCACCTGATAGCCTTAGTACTCTGGTGCTGGAAGTTTCTTGGAGGTTGAGGAGGAGAGGCCCAGAGGAAGAGGAAGGACTTCTGTGCTGAAGACATGAGCACCATTAAGGTGGGTGTGGTGGTCTCACTTTATGGATGTGCCTGGAGAACAAGTGGCTTGCTCAAGGTCTCAGGAGAGCTAAGGAGTGGCTGAATTAGGATGGCAGTTGAGGCCGAGTGGCAGAATTGCATAAGGCTGAGGGCTCCAGAGAACACGCCCTTGGAAATACGCAGGAAGGTGATCTTGGAGCTGCACTATGTGCCACACTCTTGGCTGTCTCTGGGAACGAACACTCTGGATTATTTAGTGATGCCAGCAATTGACTGAATACACTCAACCTCTACCCCTTCTAGTCCTGAACCTGAACTCATGTGCTCAGGGGTAGGGCCCTCATGACCCTTGACCAGAGATCCACCTCCTTCCTCCACCAGCTGCTTTTTGCTGATGCCGGTTTTTTTCTTGCTTCTCTGTACTTGCCCTGGTTGGAGAGACAACTGCTTACCCACCCCTCGGACTAAGGGCAGGCCATCTGGTCTGGATCCGCATGCCTCCATCCCTAGAACTGTCTGGCCAGAGGCAGAAGGAGGTTAGAGGTTAACACCGCTGATTCCAGAAGACTGCCCTGCTGAGCATCCCAACCTGTCTTTTTGCCAAGCCCCATGACCTGTGGGGTTTGAATGCTTTTCAGTAACATTCAGCTGTCCCCTGAGGTCCCAAATGATCTCCCCAGTTCACAGGGGAAAGGAGAAAGATGCAGCCAGGCGGTGATGGTGCCCAGGCAGAGGCAGGCAGATCTCCGAATTCAAGGCCAGTTTGGTCTACAGAGCGAGTTCCAGGACAGCCAAGGCTACACAGAGAAACCCTGTCACAAAACAAACAAACAAAAACAAGAAAGAAAAAAAGAGAAGGATGCAGATTAAGGTCAACATGTCATAGTCACACCAATATTAAGTAGGCAAATCAGGCCCACTGGCTCTTGAGCCTTGGATGTTACCTTCCACTTATGCTCAACTCTTCCCCTTTGCAGGGATTCAGACTCCCTGTGACTGGAGAGGTAGAGGCATGAACTGGAGTTCTGAAGCCAAACAACCACCACCTTCTCAGGGCCTGCCACCTCCTGTTGCCTGAATTTATCAAGGGGCTTTGCTTTGCTTTCGTGTGTGTGTGTGTGTGTGTGTGTGTGTGTGTGTGTGTGTGTGTGAAGGCTACAGGTCAACATCAAGTGCTGCTCCTTCAGAACTATCCACCTTATATTTTGAGCCAGATTTTCACACTGGCCTGCATCTTGCCTGTAGGCTAGGCTGGCTGTCCAGTGAGCCCCGGGGATTGCATCTCCACTTCTCCAGCACTCGAGTTAACAGAATGTGCCACAATGCCTGGATTTTTATGTGGGTGTTAGGAATCAAATTTGTGGGGACCAATTGAACTATTCCCCAAGCCCTCACCCAGTATGGTGGCTCGTGCCTGTAATCTCAGCATTTGGGAGGCTGAGGCAAACTCTGGGGCTCATGCCACCCTCCTGCCTGAGCCTTCTAGTGTGTGCCACCACACCCAGGTAAGGTGCTTTGTTTTTGAGACCTCATTATCACACTGTCGAGGTGTTGACATCCTCACCCTTAATGGCTATGCCTACCTCTTCCAGGGTATCCCAAAGCCCCTGGTGGCTTCAGCCCTGTGTCCCTGTTCCACCTCCCTAGCAGTCTGCCAAAGCATAGTGGACCTTGCTCTCTTGTTCTTCCTGGATTACAGTTCTTAGCTGGGACATGGAGTCCTGGGGACCCATGAACTTAGACGGAAGAACTATGCTATCTCTTTGGGAGCATCCTGTGAAGATTATGAGCAAAACCAGCAAAGTCATCATAGATCGTTCTTGTTCATAGATAGTTCCATTATGAGTCTTCTACAACATGAGGTTCAAACTGATAAGTATTCAGTAGAAACCATACCTTACTACACCTTATCATGAATTGCCAAACCTTACCATACCTTACAACACCTTACCATACATTTCCAGACATCACCATACCTTGCCATAGCTTACTATATCTTACAATACTTTACCCCTCACCATACTTTACCATACCTTACCATATTTTGCCACACCTCACCATACTTTACCATACCTTACCATGTTTTACCATACCTTACCACACCTTGTCACACCTTACCACCTTATCATAATTTGCTATACCTTATCATACTTTACCACACATTATCATACTATAATACCTTGCCCTACCTTACTTACCAAATATTACCATATTTTGCCACACCTTCCCATACCGCCACATCGTACCACAGTTTTCCATGCCATGCCATACTTTGTTCTCAGTGTGTGGCCACTCTGTCTTTCACTTTGGATTCAGTGTTCAATGAATAAAAAGGGACATTTAACATTTAATTATAAAGTAGGCTTTGTACCAGCATGGTGGTGCATGTGCATAAGCCTAGTACTTGCACGGTAGGCAGAAGAGTCAGGATTTCAAGGCCATACTCAGCTACATAGGGAGTTCTGTACAAGCCTGGGCTACACACCTTTACTCAAAGCAAACATCAAATCAAATCAAACAAACAAAAAGACACTTGCCATCAAGCCTGATGACCTGAGTTCAAAACCTAGAATCCACATGTGGAAAGCGAAAACCAATTCCCACACGTTGTTCTCTGACTTCCACATGTACCACAACACACATGTATGCATACACACAATAAATAAACAAGCACACACATATAAAATAACTCAAAATCTGACAACGAAAAGGTAGGCTTTACGTTGGGTGAATTTACCCACGTAGACAAATGGAGTGTTCTGATCATGTCCAAGGTAGGTGAGGCAGTTGTTTGCATTAGCATAGAAATATTCAACTTAAAAACAGGTTTATTTCCAGCCAGTGGTGGCACATGCCTTTAATCCCAGAACTCGGGAAATAGAGACATGCAGATCTCTGTGAGTTTGAAGCCAGCCTTGTCTACAGAGTAAGTGTTCCAGAATAGCCAGGGTTATACAGACAAACCCTGTTTCAAAAACAAACAAAAACAAGAAAACAGGTTTATAAAGCTGAGGCTCATCTGTACTGTTTTTACTGAGAGAGAGAGGGAGAGAGAGGGAGAGAGAGAGATTGGAAGTCTTCCTCAATTGCTCTCTGCCTTAGTTTTTTGAGACAGGGCTCTCACTGAACATGGGTCTTGCTGACTCAGCTAAGCTAGCTAGCCACCAAACCTCAGGGATCCTGTCTCCAACTCCACACAGTTGGGATTACAAGTGGTGTTGAGATCACAGGTGCTGGGATTACAGGTGTTGTTGAGCTCACAGGCATTAGAATCACAGGTGTTGGGGTCACAGGTGCTGGGATTGATTACAGGTGTTGGGATTACAGGTCTGTGCCACTGCACAAGTTTTTAAACTCAGGCACTGGCGATCTGACTCATGTTTATGCAATAATTCCTTTACACACTGAGCTGTGTCTCCCCGGCTCCCCGTTGTCATTATTTTTGGTAGCTTTGTTACAGATATTTTGTTTTTGAGACAGGGTCTCGCTAAGTCATCCATGCTGGCCTCAAGTTCTGGGACTCAAATGACCCTTTCACTTCAGCTTCCTGAGTACCCGGGACTATAGGCATGTGCCATCAGGCCTGGCTCTGTTATAAATACTTGATTATAGCTATCAGACACTGGATGCCTGCCCACATCAGTTCCGGCAGTTACCTCCCAGTCCATCTAGGTATACTGTTTACACCATCCCTGTTTGGAAACAACAATGGTTTCTATGCCATGTGTTTCTCTAAGGCACCAACAAGGAAACATATATTTTAAAACTGCAATGGGATTTTCCTGGAAACCAGGATTCCTAATTGCTTTCCTTTGCAAGTAATACTCTGGGAGAAATAGAAGTGAGAGAGGCCTGGCAGTGTCTTGATGCACTTGGATGGGAGGGTCCAGCTTGGAGCTGGAGTGCTGCCAGGGTTCTGTGAGGGTCTGTGTTTAGGTGCCACCCTTTGGACGCTGATAGAGGCACTGCTGGGACTTTTTCCTCCACCCCTCAATATGTGTGATTCCAGGTCAGCGTCTCCAGCTCTAGGAATGGGGAATCCAGGGATTCCAAGCCACAGCTGAGAACTGCGAATGTGGGCTGGCAGCCTTGCCATGAAGCCTTAGTGGCTCACATGCTGGCCTCTGGAAGTCCCTAGGGCCATTATGTGGCACAGATCCCAGGGGCACAATTCCCATTTGGAGCGAAGGCAGAGCCTGTGCCAGGGTTATCTGTGGGCCCAGGGCTCAGGAAACAGCAGAGGGTTTTGTACTGAGCCTCGGGCCAAGAGGGGGGCCGTTCCCAGTTCTGAGTCCTCAGTGTAACA